ATCCTCTCATGGATGAGAACATACTTTGAAGAATACTTTGAAGGATACGAAAAAAAAAATTATAGAGAGAATCTAGAGACATAACTGGGACCGAGAAAGTTTAGGGTGTTGCACCTCAATATCCCGTCGGGACATTCTTCCTTCCACTGTATTCCATGCTCTGGTGGAATTATTCCTTGGTCGCAGAACTTGTGATCATGGTTGATATGTTTCTACATTTTTCCTGAAATTGACTTCATAATTATTTCCGTGAGTGTGTATTTGTGCTACCGGCTTGGTGAAAATACATCGTCGCCCCTAAACTAATTGTGAAAGTGGCGTGTGCTCATTGTCACAACATAGTGATTCTCCTGGTCGTTAATCTGTGGCTTGGGATCGAAAACTGGCTCGGTGTTAGTCACGAATAGGATGCCCATTTTAATGTGATGGATCTTTATTTCAAAATTTATCTCAAATATACAAATTGTCGAGAGAATAGGAGTTCAGTCGGGAGCGGCGGCGGCAACGACGGACAAAACAACTGTTAAAGGGTTTTTTATCATCAAAATAAGGGGTCTATATAGGCAATGTAAAACAGACTCGATAGACTCAAATCTAAATAACGTAATCTAATTGATATGACCAAATTTAAATCTAAATCTAACAAATCTAAAACTAAATATCGAAATCTCTCGACACCCTCTCTCAAACTCGAGTGGGATTGCAGAAACCAACTAGAGTTTGACAAGAAAGTTAAACAAAAACCAAAAGGCGCAAACACAGATAACAGTTGCTTGGTGCGTCGTTGCCGCCGCCGCTCCCGACTGAGCTCCTATTCTCGCACATAATAGTTGCTCGTCCGACGTCGCCTTCGCCGCTCTCAACTAAGCTTCTGTTCTCGAACGCAGACATGAACTCTAACGCAACGCAAATAACAGTTGCTTTGTCCATCATTGCCGTCGCCGCTCCCGACTGAGCTCCTACTCTCGCACATAATAGTTGCTCGTCCGACGTCGCCTTCGCCGCTCTCAACTAAGCTCTTGTTCTCGAATGCAGACATGAACTCTAATGCAAACGCAAATAACAGTTGCTTTGTCCGTTGTTGCCGCCACCGTTCCCGACTGAGCTTCTATTCTTGCACATAATAGTTGCTCGTCCGATGTCGCCTTCGCCGCTCTCAACTAAGCTCTTGTTCTCGAACACAGACATGAACTCTAACGCAAACTCGGACAAAATTGCAGACATATCTCAAAATCAAAGACCTCCGGGTACATTCCAGGTTGAATGTACTCGGAGCAATTAGGGTTAGTAGACTATGTCTATCCAAAAAAAAATAGGCTCTGATACCATGTTAAATGCAGAATGACCGTCTCACTAAAAGCTCGAACTGTTAAGGAAACGCAGCCAGTAATCACGCCTCCTCAGGTGCAAGTGGGGTCTGTGAAACTTGCACATGCAAATGCCGCAAATAGGGACGGACGGAACTCGAACTTGAGACCTAGCCTAGGCTCTGATACCATGTTGGATGCAGAATGACCATCTCACCTAAAAGCTCGAGTTAGTTTCTGCGATCCCACTCGAGTTTGAGAGGGGGTGTCGAGAGATTTTCGATAATTAGTTTTAGATTTGTTAAATTTAGATTTAGATTTGGTCACATTCATTAGATTACATTATTTAGATTTGAGTCTATCGAGTCTGTTTTACGCTGCCTATATATAGGCTCCTTATTTTCATGATCAATAACGCAAGTTTTAGAATTTTCGCAAAATATTTTAACACAAATAATTTCATAATAAGACATATCCAACACATATATAATTGGTGAATAAAGCTTCCTTTAAAAAAATGATAATGTGCATTTAAATTGTCACAATTACAATAAATTCAAAAATATTATCTAAATAATAAATATATTTATATATATAAGGTTAATATTTTTAATTGCTTGTTGCCCCTATAGTAAGAATTGCTGGGGAAAAAAATATATCTTATATAGAGAACGATTAGTTTAATATACATATATAAAGAACAGCAATTTAAGCACATGCTGAATAATTAAAATTTAATTATACATAGAAAAGCAATTTCAGCACCATGCTAAATAACTAAAATTTAATTATATATAATTATATTAATTACATTATTTAATTATATAAATTAAGATAATTAATTTTTACTCATTCAACTATGTGCTGAAACAATTTTCTTCAGCATTTGATCCTCTCCCTATAAAGAAATAGTTAGAGTATTGATTAGAGTTAGGTGTTCACCTGCGCCTAAAATAGAATCTGACAACACATGACATAAATTAGTACATCATGGATTGTATTGATTATTACCATTGTTTTTCTTCTATTTTATATGCCCGGTTTGTTAATATAGCATATATGTTGATATCAATTGTATTATATGTTGTGAATCTCTACGTTATATTTGTATTATATTAATATATATTTAATATTTGTGTTTATATCTCATTGTTTTCTACTAATTTTTTATTAGTATTGCGGTAAGTGTAATTTATAATTAAAATATAATATTTTAGAAAAGAAACGAATAGACAACAATTTATGTAAAAATGCTTACGGAAAATTTTCATTGGATCACTAAAATATAATTTCACTTACTAAAATTTATTTTAAGCATGTAATTTGCTATTTTTAAGAGATACAATGAGAAAATTGAAATATTAGAGGGTGTATTCATTTAAGATTTTATAGAATAGTATTGGATTTTAAAAAGTCTATGCATTTGTGTGGATTTTCTAAATCTAGAGAGTTCATGTAGAGTTTAATGGATTTTATAAATTGATTTAGATGGATTTTCATTGATTACTTATGGATTTATATAGATTTGATAGGATTGTAAAATATTTTTTTTATTAATTTATATAATTATATAAATTTATATAAAACACACTTGTAAATAATTTTTTTTATTCAAATTATTAAATAAAAATATAAATACAAATTTTTAATTTTAAAAAATACATTATTATTATTATTTTTATTATTATTATTATTATTATTATTATTATTATCATCATTTTCATTTCCATTATATTACGGTCTCATTTTCCACATAGCAGTAGTAATATTCATTTTTCATGCATTAGCTTTCGTTGTTTGTGAATTTTTATCTTCCTTGTAGAGATGTGAGAAATCTTAAACTTCATATTCGATTGAAAATTCATCTGATATTATTTAATAAATGTTTTAAAAAATTCATTACTATTTTTGTATATTAATATTTTTTATATTGTTATAATTCAGTAAATCAATTTATTTTAATTTAAATTTGGTATTATGATTTATATATTTATTACATAAAATAAACATATATAAAATCAAGATCCAAATTTTACGATCTTTGCAGAAAATATTTGAAATTGAAAAAGTAAAATTAAAAAAAAATAGTAAATATAAATTAACGATTCAACGAAGAATGACACAATAATAATGTATTTGATAATTGAAAATAGATGATAATTGTAATACATATTTATTCTGACAAAATTTTCGTTGTTTTAGTCCTCCGGCGCCGGAGGACTAAAACAACGAAAATTTTCCACTTGGGGGACTAGTTTGTGACATGCTCCACTGACGGGACTAAAATGATAATGGGTTAGTTACAGGGCAAAAAAAAAAAAAAAAAAAAAAAAAAACAGTTTACCCTTTTAAATATTATATTTATAATATAAAAACACATATTTAAAAAAAAAAATTGATAATAATTTACTAGTATATTTTAATTTTAAATTATTATTTTTATTAAAATATTTTAATATTATTATAATATTTATTATTCATACATTAATAATAATAATAATAATATATTTTTAAGAATCCGTCAAAATCTCTGCTTATCAGGAGAGATTTTGTACAATACAAATTTTTTATAACATTCCATTAAAATCCAATAAAATGCATAGACTTTAAAAGTGCATAATGGTTGAATACCTCTAAAAAAGACTTTTAAAAGTTTAGATTGAATACATCAATATTTTGAAAAACTTTTAAAAATCTGGATGAATACACCCAAATTGTCAAAATCCTATAAAATTTATGTTGAATACACCCCCTAAAATTCAAATGGCAATTAACAAAAATAATTTTTTGATTTGTTTTTCTCGATATAATATTTTTTGAATCCTTTTTATTGATAAAATCCTAAATATAAAATCCCTAAAAGATTATAGTCATTATTATTTACCATAAAAATAATATTAATTACTTACGCTCAAAATGATTATTGTGTCGTCTATAAAAGGATCAATATTCATTCATCAATCATCCACAATATAAAAATATACCACCTATATACAAGCATAATGATAATTCATCAACTACATTGCCATGCAGCAGCAACTATGCCAAATGATTTGATTATTAGTGAGTTATTTTATTCTATTTGAATAATTTGCTCATTTATTTATCTATTTATTCATTATTTTTATGCTTTATATATTTCTTTGTCCAACAATCTTGAATTTTCCTTTCAAGAAATTTGGAAAAAGAATATTATAAGTATTTAGAATTATATCAAGGTATCAATTTAACATTTAAGTGATATCATTATTCTTGTGGTATAAATTTGTAATAGTTACACTTTACCAATAATATAGGTTCTTCATTTATATATATTATACAAATTTTAAATGCTAATATTTTGGTAACTTGGAGCATATTCTATATATTTTGGTATGAATCCAACAAAAATTGACTAAATAACCTAAATATCATTAAATTATTGAAATATTAACCAAAAACTACCATTACAATATAATTCCTTTTTACCTATTAATGTTATGAAGCATGCATGCTATAAATTTTTCTAACTATAAATACATTGTCACTAAGGATATATTCATCCATCTCATGATCTCACAAGTAATTTAGAGCATTCCCCATTACAATTTTGTCTCTTATATTTAAATTTTTACTTTTGTTCATAAAATGGCAGATAGACAAATAAAGAGCCGTCAAAAAATTTCAATTCAACAAATCGCAAAACCAAATAACATGTACGCTACATTTACAAAGCAATGTCTTGGCTTGTATAATAAAGCAAATGAGCTCAGCACCCTTTATGGTGTCGATACTGGGGCAATTATATTCTCCTCTACAGGCAATGCATACTCATTTTTCCACCCGAGTATGGAGTCGCTACTAGGGAGATATCGAAACCCAAACCAACCCGTCTCCAGTGAATATTCTCAAGTCATCGAAGCTCAATCTAGGGACCGAATCAGGCAGCGCAATCAGCAGCTCGATGAGATCCTAGAAGTTAATGACCAAATAAAGGAAAAGGACAAGCGGCTTGATGAGGTTGATGACACTCGCCCCAAAGGCTGGTGGGAAGAGGTACCCGTTGAGAGTCTCGATGCAGGTCAAGTCCGGGAGTGGACCACCTGGTTCGAGGCTGTTCTTGCCCGAGTCTAGAGGAAGATTGAGATCATAAATGGCTGTAGCGCGGGTGCCATTTGATCGGCCACTGTTGTAGTCTACGAATTACAAGATTAACAATTGTTAGAGCTTTTTGAATAACGAGTTTGATTAATGATGGTTTGTAGTCTATCTCGAACCTTGAAACAAGAAAAACAGACACAAAACACAAGATATAGTTAGTTACCCAATACGATCTCAACCAATCTATAAAGTTATCCTGTTCGATTTTGAGGATCCTTCATCCAAAAGTATCACTATCAGATATACATCAACGGGACATACTCTCAAGAATACTTCGAATGATGCGAAGAACATTACAAAGGGAGTCTAGTGTCACGGGCTTACGTTCCTGCCCCAGCTTCTCGGCCATAGTCCGTCCCATGTGTGCGAGCCCCTGTCTTGTACGGCCGACTGATGACCTATATCTTGGTTTAGGAACGTGTTCCGCATGATTCTCTCATACTGTATGGTATATCCCGGACGTGTTGCGCACAGGGGACGGTTGGTCTGGGCCTCAGCGCGAGCGTGGCCTAAGCGTCATGCATGTCAGCTTCCGGACACGTTACACTAGTGTGTCTTCCACAGAGAGCCTAGTATGTCATATGATTAGGCCAAAGACCCCTATAATTAGTGGAGGTGTGATTTTGCCTTTACGAATGACTCCAGTTGGTTGATAAAAAGATTTTATAATTTTTCTTATTTTGCTGAAAGTTACTTTCTTTGTTGATGAGATTCATTATATCTTTTATTTTAGCAACAAGATTTATATATTATTTTCTTTATGTCCGATCCTTAATAATCACTTAAAAAAAATAGTATATTTGTAACGGAATTATGTTCCTAAAGTTCACGTAGCTAACGTAATTTCATTAGTAACAGAAAAAGTGAATTTAGGAACGAAAAAATCTCGTTACAAAATTGATAATTTCTTGTGGTAAATAAACTTCTTTTATTAATGAGATTCATTTGCGTTATTAATAAAATTATTTTTATTTTATTTATGCATGCGTATAATATTTGTACGATATAGTTTGCACTAATTTTGCATTAATAATTAATATATACTAATATTTTGCATTTATATTATTATAGAAAAATTAATATATACACAAAATTCAATATTACATATTTATTTTACAAGTTTCAATTTTTTTTTCCCAAATATATAATATTTAATTGAATTACAACATCTATTTATTAATGCTACTATATGTATTAATAAAATCCAATGATGTTACCAAAGATCTATTCATCATCACAACCTATAATTTTTTAATATTTGCCTACAATATTCTTTGCATATTTTTATATAAATCTCACTCAATTTAAATAATAGCCACTAGACAAATATGAGGTTGTCAAATAATTTTAATTCAACAAATTGAAAATCGAAATGACATGTAGGCCCACATTTTCAAAGCGACGCCATGGCCTATATAGTAAAGCAAATGAGCTTAGCATCCTTTGTGGTATTGATGTCGGGGTAATTAAGTTCTCCTCTACGAGCAATTCATACTCATTTTTTCCTTCGAGTTCTCGAGTTGGAATTAGTATTAGAGATATATAGAAACCAGTGCCGGCCGTGAGCATGGGCCACCTGGGCCCACGCCTAGGGCCCAAGACTTTTGGGGGCCTTTTGGGGGCCCTTTTGATTAAAAAAAAACAAAATTATATGTATATATAAAATGAATATTATAAATATATGCAAAATATTAAAATATTTATATTAAAATTTATTTGATTGTATTTAAATTTCATTTTTTATTAAATATATTGTAATATAATATTTTATGAAAATTAGTATATTTTTATTTGTAATAGAAGTAAATAAGTCCAAAAAAAATTATCAAAATAATTAATTTTTTATTATTTATATATAAAATAATTAAATGAGACCCGATTTCTATTTTTGGCTGTGCTCATCCAAAATTCAAGAACGGCCCTCATAACCAGCCCATCATCAATGAATCTGAACTCATCGACACTCACTCCTTGAATTGCCCGATGCATATCAAGTCCAACAGTGGATCACCTGGTTAAGGAGGGTGTCAATTCGTATTTTCGGGTTGTGTTCTTGTCGGGTTCACTACGGGGATAACACAAAAATTGTCAACTCGAACCTGACCCAAACCCGAAATTTGATCCGAAACCCTAGACCCGAACACGACACTAATTCTTTCAGATCAGGTTCAGATTGACCAGATTTAGTTTCAAGTCACCCGAAACTCGAACAAACCCGACACGAACTCAACACAAAACCTACCCAAAAAATTTTAAAAATGAAGTTAACCTAAAAAATTATTCTACTTTTTATATTATTTTATATTTAAAATAATATAAATATTATAAATTAAAATAATAATAATAATAAATAATGTCAAGTCAATCGGAAACACAAAATCCAAAACCTTACCTAGTATTTATATTTTGAGTTATAAGGTAAACCCGAAATCCGACCCGAACACGACACGAATATTTTTTCGTTTTGGATTCGGGACAACCCGATTTTTTGCAAACCCAAATCTGAAAAATTTCAGGTCGAATGGATTCGGTTTTTGCAAACTTCCTTCGTGTTTTCAAAAAGCATTCACCATAATCCCCTCAAACTACGGTGCTCAAACAAAAACAACATCTGCCAATAAGTTTAGTTTAGATGTTCTTAGAATTTTGTGCAATATTTTTAAACCAAAAGGGAATATTGCGCAGTTTCTAAATCATAAAGAAAATTGTACATATCTTTCAAATCATGAGTAAATTATAAACAATTTTCCTATATTATATCTTAATCTTAATAGATTTAATTTCTAAACAATACGAACAATCGTAATAAATAACAAGCAACTCCGATCTTGTTAGTAAATTAATTCAACCGGGCCACCGGTCAGCCCATTCATACTCAACTCATGCTCAAACCAGCCCACATAGTCCAAACCTGATCTAAACCGGGACGGTCGACAATTCAGCCCAAAAAAATCTCGATAAATGCAGACTAGTGTGCGAAGTTTACAAATTTTGAGAGGTAATAAATCGATCATTTTTTATTCCAAGAAGCAAGGCTTCGACGACCCATTTAATGAGTCCATTCATCAAGCCCAAAGCCGGCCGAAAGGCCAAGATGCTAGCCCAAAAAGGATGATAGCTACCACAAAATATACGTCGAAATTTGACGGACAAAGGTTACACAATGGAGATATCAATGGGCAGGAGTTATAGGTAATCAAATATATGTGATCGAGTTGGTGTTGTTAGAAATTAAATTCACAAATATCGGGAATATGCAAAAACAAATCTGAATGATTTCTATGATAAAAAGAAACAGATTGATACACTTGTTTGATAATCATACAACCATATGTATGCAATACATCCTATACAATACATGCTACAATCTTATAATTCTAATAGATACGACCTTTCAACATTGACAGACAATTTTGAATACCGACATCTTTTTGGCCTAATCTCTTACACAGCTTAACTGATGTAATTTGCAGGCTATTATGTTCAGTCGTGCACTCGACGAATAGTAATTTTTTTAAGAAGAGAGAAAGAATGGATCGTCTCCAAAGGCCTCCTACGTTTGCTTTTATTTATCATTGTTTTATAGTTTTTGTAGTATATAGTTCAATGTTGGCACGATTAATCCCATATCGATTCTATGAATTCTAGCCTCATTTTTGATCTTTTGCATTTTTATTTAGTATTCTTTTGGTTTGTCTTCATGCTTTACTTCTATCATTCAATTTGTAGTGTATCCTAGATATTTTCTTATTATAAACATCCTCTTAGTTTTGCACGTGAAAATCCAAAACCGCTATTTTTTTAGTATGCACCGAATAATCTTAAGTCAGGCGCAATAGTCTATAAACCACATCGGCCAAGAAAGCCACCCTAAGAAAATCCTTAATGATAGACTCAATCAAAAAGACGTTAACAGGATTGGAACCAATGCCATTGTATAGTGTATAGCATAGATTATCAACTATATTTCAACATAAATATATGAAATATACTATAGATTTTATTGTCTATGATCATAATTTTCTCTCTAGCACGAATTTCATTTCATGTTTCGAACCATGTCAACGAGGTTGCAATCCATAGTCCGTTTTCACGTCAAAAAAAATTAATAATCATGCGCCCAAAAGACAAAGATGTGTAGCTTCAACGTAGCTTGAGTAAGAAAATCAAATTTCACACCGAAACGAGCAAAACGTACCATTTTATAACCATATTCGCAGAAACGGGGCACTCTAAAACTACGGACTAGCAGAGACTTAAAGCCAACAAAATCGCGCAACTCAAAGGCAGAATCAACGAATCAACAAATGAGCAGATTATGTCTAATGTCAAGCCAATGTACCTCCCAACCCGAGCGAGCAAGTTCCACAATGTTCGACATGAAGCGTTGCAGCCTCTGGATTTTGTGTGCTCCAATGAACTATAAGCTCAGATTTCTCGGCAAGGATGCTGACGCAAAGCTGCCATCTCCTCCTCGGGAATTTGCCCGAGAATATCGCCTGTCCCGGTGAATTTTCCTTTTTATAGCATGAACTTTTCGCAAAATGGCCTGCCATATCATCTGAACAGCATCGTTTTCTTGGGACGGATACTGATATTCATAGAAGAGCTCGACTTCTTTTAGCCTATTCCACATTGCTGTCCACTTCTCCTTGGTAATGTTCTTGACGAGGTTCATGAGAAAATTTTCTTTGAGGGCATCAGATGTGCGAACAAATATGCAAAATTTGGAATAGTCGAGAACATCTTCATAAGGAAGCTCGATTTCATCACTGATAATCACGGGCACGCAATGGCTGGCAATAGCATCGAACAGGCGATTAGATGATGGCGTGTCTCCAGCGATGTTTAGACAATATTTGGATGAGCGCATCCCATTGGAAGCTTGCGTAATTCCTCCCTTTTGGACTGTTCCGAAAGTGAAGTGCACATTTGATTCGTTTCTTAGCATGTAATACAGCTCTTGTCGAATCACTCCACCCTGAAATTAATCCAGTGAGAAAATATTATAATTCACTTAATTCTAAATTCACTCGAGTAAATAACCACATATGTTGCTAGCTCGCTAATACGAATTATCACTCCCTTACATCCGGAAAACCTTGATTATCGCTAAAAGTCGGCATATCTTAGAAACAATATACCAACGACACAAAATTATTAAACAAACAAAGATTTTAAATCTTAGATTTCGGTATCCTGCCCAAATGGCTCCCATTTGATGTACATGAACAATAACTTGCATACGGAAACAGAAGAATATAATCACTATGTGCTGACTTGAAAACCTGATGGAACCAAGCTTTCGAACAACTCATTTCAAAAGCAAAAAACAAAAATGCTGTATATTCAATTTACACAGAAGTATTCAGATCCACTGCTCTAGCCATTTCAATACTATGATAAATACGTTTTAGCTTCACCGGAAAATCGGTCATATCATCTAGCTTAAAAGTACAGATCTGAAATATGCTGAAGCTACGCTACCCGTGCAATTAAGAAGAACATCAAGGCATAACAAATAATATAGAGAGTTTCTTCATTTTCGAATATCAGGTGAACCATTCTTTAAAACTGATACCACAATTTCACCAAGTAAAGGCACATACGAGCATTTCGTGGACTACAGTAGGTTCTTGCACACCATTCGGCTATTAGCACATAGAGAATAGAAATGAACATAACTTCAAGAACAAATTCTTTTTTAATCAACAAATATCGAAACACGGCATTTTTGTTTCAATAACAGTACAAGCATGCTTCCATCAAAACATTAAGTAAAGACCAAATTCACCAGAGAAAGTGGAACTGAATTACCATAATCTTTATCACTTCAATGAATAAAAAAACAAAGAAAACACATAAATCTTTGAGACACGAATGACAACTTACATCCTTGCGGTATATCGAGCCCTGAAAATAGAGCAAGGTCGGGCGACTATCAAAATCCGACGTGTCATCGCTGTAAGTTTTAACAACATGCATATACGGTGCAATGACATCTTTCTCAACATTGGCAATGGTGGGAGGATATCTTCCGAAATCCGAAAGAATATAAATTGCTGGCCACAGCTTCGACCTTGCATCTATTAGGCTATTCGGATGGTGAGCAAGAACTACATGATCTTTACCATCCGACCTCTTCCACTCCTCCTGATCCTTCAAGAAACTAACCAACTTCTCCTGTAATTCAACATTCAAACTCCTTTTCTCGCCCGGCTTTGGCTTCGAGTGCCGGTTATAGCACAGTGATGAAAAAAAGGGAACAAAGACAACATCGGCTTCACTCGAATTTCTCACCCGAACGGCACTCCGCCCACTCAAATTCTCTACGACATTGGAGTATAAAAGATCCAGAGTCAGCCAATACCCTATGCTGTGCTGCAAATTTAACCCTCCCGGATATCTCGGAACTTCTCCATGAACATCCGGCCATACACTCTTCCCATCCCCTTTCCACCCCAGTAGCCCGAAATGAAATTCCACGGGCAAGTCATACATGAAAACCTTGAGAATCGGCTTCGTCTTATCACATTTTCTTAAATTCCCATTCGGAGCAGCTCCCCCTGCCGATTCTGGAGCCCTAACAAACTTGGAGTCCGGTAGAACATCAAATTCAGTCCGGGGCTGGCTCGTCGATCGGAATGCTAGGAACCAAGACAACACGAAAAATGCAGCAGTGACTGTGAACCAACAGAACCAGGACTTATACGCCCGGTGCCCGATTTTCGACATTCTAGCATACCATAGAAACGCTTGCACATCAACAATTATTCAATAACAAGACTAAAGCCAGACAGAAATGTCAGACAAAAATCCCCTTCTATTCTTCGAAGAGCATTCGAGTCGGACTTAAGTTTGAAATTTGTAAATCAAACGCAATGTCATCCATGGAGATGAGAATAAACCACTGCCAAATCATCCAACACCATTCCCAAATCAATCAATTCAATTCAGTTCGAGAATTCCTAATCTAATTAGCGTATGAGACTGCAATTTCACATATCCGCCACGTCGGGGGGGAAATTAGGGTTCCTAATTCACCGAAATAGAATGAAACGCTCAGCAAACACAACCTAGACAGACAACGAAATCAGATTGGGAAATGAGTAAAGGCTTTCACCGAATAAAGCAATAACGGACGCGATGATAAAGACAGGGTTCCAATCAAATGTATTCAACAATGTCGTCTTCCTGTCGGCTTTTTCCCCCACGCTTTTGCTCCCTCTTGGCTGGAATCGATTGGAATTTCTGCGCTTGCATATCTTCAAGGCGCGCGAGAATCGGAAGAAGCTGGAGAGGCGGACGATCCTCCATCTGCGGGAAATTTCGTCGCTGCCATTTCCCCTTTTCTGCAGTGAAATTGGAATAGTTTGAATCTGAATCAAAGAATGTTTGTTAGAATGTTAATTGTCATTTGCCATTTATTATTAATAAGCATTTAAAAATTATTATCATACCTTTCATTTTTGCTTAAGATATTGATTTTACCTATTATTTTTTAAAATTCTCCATTAAAATTAGGAGTAAAAATCATTTAATATTAATAACACGTGACTTTTAGATCTTCTGTCGGACGCCTTTATCTTAGCATTTATTAAATTATAAATTAAAAAATTAAAAAAATACAATTAAAATATATAATTATCTTATAAAAAAAAATTATACAAATAAAAATAGTATTAGTTGTGTGGGGGTGAATCCAACCTTTAGATTTTCATTCTGACACTCTTTCAATTGAGTTATCCCATATTTATTAAATAATTTATTAAAATAAAAAAGAATTATAAAATATAATTAAATTATATTATTATTTTTTAAAAATAATAAAAACAAAAATATATATATAGTTTCAAACACATGACCTTCAGATTTTCGGTCTAACACTCTCCTAACTTTATTTTTGACTATTAATTAATAGAAAAAAATATGTGTTTGTTTTGTGATATTATTGTAAAGTAAATTTTTTTATGTAAAATATAAGAAAATATGTAGAAAATATAAAAATAATAAATGTGTCTAATATATTAATTTTTTTGAAAAAAATATGCCCGAGAAAATAATTGAAACAAAGCCCGTTTTATTTGTTTGGATATCATTTCAATTTCTTTTTATTCTATTTAAGTTTTAAGAGTATATTATTTTTTCCAGTAAATAAAAAATAAATATTTAAAAAATGTATTAATATGATTAATTATTATATTATAAAAATAATTATATATTAAAATTAAAATAATTAAATAATTTAATTAAAATTAAAAAATTATAAATTTAAATATGATTGAAAATATAATTATTTTTTCAGAAAAAAAAAAATATATGATTTAAAAAAAAAATGAAAAAGAAGTATATTACATTCATTCATATTTTAATTTCCTACTTATAGCAAATTGTAAACAGTAACGAACAATAAGTTCAAATAATAATATAATTGGAAAATACATTGGTATGGGCCAGTTAGTCCAAGACTTTTTTGGAATTGTAATTTCCAAAAACTAATTTTTTTTCTATGCATAAGAATAATATCATTTTTTTTTATTCGTTCCAAAATAAGCATATCATTTTTAAATTTAGTAATTGTATTTTTTACCTAATATAATATATACCATACAATTTACATATTACTGCAAACCATGGTAATACTAATATTCAAGAATCTAAGTGCATAAGAAAATGATGCTCTTTTTGCGAGATTGAGGGGATATTTTATATTTTTTACACGATTCTCTATGTTTGTTTGTTTGGGGGTTTGAATTTTGAATTGAGATTTGAATAATAAAAATTTTGAATCAGTATAATTGTATAATGTGATATAAATAGGTGTTGATGTAATGTTTTGAATGTAAAATTAATTTTTAGTATAATATATAAAATAAAAATTAGGTATTTGATTTGATATTTTGGGAGAAAAAAAATTGATGAATAGTGTAAATCCTCGCAAATCCCCCAAACAAACACTCGCTTAAAAATAAATTCAAAAGAAATGTTAAATACTCGTTACAAAAGTCAAATATTCAATTTAAAATAATATATTTTATATTTTTAACTCAATTTCTTATATATTATGGGTGTCTTTGTTTGGAGGTTTGAATTTTAGTTTGGGATTTAAATAATAAAAAATTTGAATTTGACCGTAATTTAGAGTAAGAAAATCAAAAAGACCCGTTACAAAATTTTGTGGAATCTAAAGTGAGGTCAGAACTTAAGACATAAGTCGATATACTCGCTCGTCTAACTAAAAATATCATGATTACTATTTATATAAAAAATATATATATATAATTAATAAGTACTCCCTCCGTCCGATGTAATGTGGGTGTATTACTGTAGATACGAGAATTTAGGTAAAGTATAATTAATAATTAATTAAGAAGTATATTAGTAAAAATAATTATTATTTAATAAAAATAATTATAGATTAAAATAGATAAGTAAATAGTTTAATTAAAATTAAGAAAACTATAAAATTTAAAATTTAAAATGCGATTAAAGTGCATAATTATATTTTCAAAAATAGAAATGACAAGTTATATGGGACGGACAAAAATAAAAATAGGGACAAATTATGTGGGACGGAGGGAGTATATTAATAAAATAATTATTGTATTATATGAATAATTATAATTAATGTATCATTTATTATAATTATTATTAATCTAAATAAAAAACTTGTCAATCATAGACACCCGTTACAAAATTTTTTGGAATCGTGAGGTGTGAATTTAAGACATAAGTTGATATATTCGCTGGTCTAACTAAAAGTCCAAATTATTGCATATATAAAAATTTTAAAAATACATATAATTAATAAGTATATTAATAAAAATAATTATTATACAATATAAATAAAATTAATATTAAAATAATTAAATAATTTAATTAAAATAGAAATTATAATATATGAAATTCAAAATATGTTTAAAATATATAATCATTTAAAAAAACAATCTGAAAAAAAAAAAGAAGAGAAAAACACTTTATTTAAAAATAACTATGGTATAATGTTTTAATAATTATAAATTAAATTAAATTAATTATAAAATACAATTAAAGTGTATAATATTTTTTTAAAAAGAAAACAAAAAACAAAAAAAATATTAGTTATGTGCGGTGAACGTGGATCGAACACGTGACCTTCAGATCTTCAGTCTGACGCTCTCCCAACTGAGCTATCCCCGCATTTATTAAATAATTTAATTAAAATGTAAAAATTATAAAATATAATTAAAATATATAATTATTTAAAAAACGAATTAGGTACAAATGAAAATAGAAATATAATATTACCTATGTGCCAATATAATGTTCAGATCTTCGGTCTGATACTCTCCCAACTGAACTATCTCCGCATTTATTAAATAATTTAAATAAAATAAAAAAATTATAAAATATAATTAAAATGTATAATTTTTTTTAAAAATAATAATAATAAAAAATAAAAAAAAAACAAATTATGACTAACATGGATAAAAAAACATGACCTTCATATCTTCATGCTAACACTCTCCACCTTTATTTTGATTATTAATTAATAGAACAAAAAAAATAATTACAACAATATAAGGCTTTATTCGTTCGGATATCATTTTAATTTCTTTTTATTCTATTTAAGTTCTAAAAGTATATTAATTTTTTTTTCTGTAAATTAAAAATATAATTATTAAATATTTAAACTCTATATTAATAAAAATAATTATTATATAATACAAATAATCTTATATTAAAATTAAAATAATTTAATTAAAATGATTTTTATTATAAAATTAAAATATATAATTATTTTTTTAAAAAAAAATAGTATTTTAATTTACTACTTATAGCAAATTGTCAATAATAACGAACAATAAGGTAAAATAATACTACCTCCGTCAAGCCACAAACTACACAAGAGTTTTTTGTTTTGATATTTGAATATTAATTATTATATCAAAATATAATACAAATAAAGAGAAAATGACAAAAATACATTTATTAGTCTCTTATAATACAAATACAATAATATTTTTGAAGTAAACTGTACAAATATAATAATATTTTTAATTTTAAAATACAATTGCGCAAAAACACATTGCTATCGGTCTGTTCTTGCAAGAACTTTTCGAAATTGTAATTTTCAAAAAATAATATTTTATGCTCCGTCTCAAAGTACTTTTTTTACTATTTACGCTCGTCACATCTCAAACTATTTCTTTTCTATTTTAGAAAAAAACAATCATACACTATTACCAAAATAGTTTTAATTTTTACATAAATTACAAATATATCATTACATATACATACATGGTGTGTTTGTTTGAGAATTTCCCCAAGATACACTATTCACCCAATTTTTTACTCAAAAACATAAAATTAAATACCTATTTTTCATTTTTTATACTACCTCCGTCCACCGCCGATCTATCCATTTGCATTTGGCGTCATTGTTTTTAACATTAAAAATATATTTATATTTGTATAATTTTTTATACAAATATCATTACATTAGTATTATAAGACACCAATAAAAGTATTTTTGTCGTTTTTTCTTAATTTGTACTACGTTTTTATATAATAATTAAAATTCAAAGATTAACATGCAAAAAGTCGGTGGACGGAGGTAGTACTTATTATATTAAAAATCAATTTTATATTCAAAACATCATATCACAAATATTTCAATTCAAAATTTTTACTATTCAAATCCCAACTCAAAATCCAAACCTCCAAACATACACGCCCACCCTTACTTTATACATAAAGTCGAAGGGAAAAAAAATCAAAAACTCTTACACACTTTCATTAATTAATAAAATTGTTGATGTAATTTTTCAACAATAAAAAAGTAAAATCCGAAGATAGAAATTATCTTCGAAATTGATAAAATAAATGCATGAGATTAAGAAATCTCTAGACACTGTAGGATACATAAGTAAAATAGGAAATTAAATACTACAGACTAAAAAGTAAAGTGGTGATCCCAAAAGCAATTCTCTTGAATTTGATGTCAACTGACACTACCAAGTCGTGTCTTCGTATCCGCTCATCGGTTGAAACTTCCTTCAACCGCCCGAAAACTACTTTTTCACCCTACCTGCACACCTGCTGCTCAGTCTCCTCTTATCTGTCTTCCACTTGTCTGACCTCATTTCACCCGACCTATATAACGCCCGACCTTATCAGGTTTGTCCTCCGCGTCCGACCTTATCACGCCCGATCTCTGCATCCGACCTTATCATGTCTGACCTCCATGCCCGACCTGATCACGCCCAACCTCAATGCCCTTATCACATCCGACCTCCGCGCCCGACCTTACCACATCCGATCTTAACGTCCGACCTTATCACGTCCGATCTCCGTACCCGACCTGATCACATCCGACCTTAGTGCCCGACCTTATCACGCCCGACCTCCGAGTCCGACCTGATCACGTCCGACCTCAGTGCCCGACCTTATCAAATCCGATCTTAACGTCCGACCTTATCACGCCCGATCTCTGCACCCGACCTTATCACGCCCAAGCTCCGGGCCCGACTTTATCACACCCGATCTCTGTGCTTGACTTTTGCGCCCGACCTTGTCACGCCCAAGCTCCGGGCCCTACCTTATCACGCCCGATCTCTATGCCTGACCTCTGTGCCCGACCTTATCCTGCCCGATCTCTGTTTTTTTCCGAGGAAGCCCTTTCCTTAACCGCGCTCAGATTTATATTCGGACTCTCATTTTAAGATCATATTACTGTTAACAAGCTCATTAAACTCTGCATCATTCTTTAACCTAATTTGATAGCCCATTTTTAAAAACCCTACCCATCGTTTTTTTTTTATACTCAATAAAAATATTAGTGTTTTTAATATACTGCAAAACCGCAATAACTATTTTTTACTAGATTCTCTACCACACACTAAAAATAAATTCAAAAAAATTTAAATACTCTGTTACAAAAATCAAATATTCAATTTAAAATAATATTATATTATATATTTTTAACACAATTCCTTATACGAAAAATGCCGGATAAACAGAGCAAACTTATCAAAATCAAACTATAAAGAATTACAGAGTCGAAGCCCACAGGCCCTCTAACCTTTTTGTAAGCTCCTTTCCTCGGCCCATAATCACACTGTTATGATCGGCATTCGGAACTATTTCTAGCTCGATTGCCGGAGCCGTCACTTTCATATTGTAACTGCACTCCACCGGCACTACTCGATCATTCGTTCCATGTATCACATGAACCCTAACGCCGCCACCATTGATGATAGCTTTCAAGTACTCGTCTTGCATTTTTGCGCCTCCGCATATCACATTGTGCATAGTGTGCCATGCCGAGTGATGAGTGTGGAGCGCCAAATCGGTTATCAAGAAATGGAGTTCCCTGGAGGAAAAGAGTCGACACAAAACATTTATAACCGATTGCCATAGAATTTTACGGGGAGTATTGAAATCATTTGCCTCCAAATATGCGCAAAATAGAATGACAATAAATTCGCGCCAAAGCTATATATATGTGCATGGAAAGTAATTCTACATTTAATACCTATTTTATTTTTTATATTAAACTAAAATTTAATTCTACATTTAAAATATTACATCAATGTCTACTTATATCACGTCAAACAATTATTCAAAATCTCAATAGCAATTCTACTACGACTATAGTAGAAGTCCTAAACTTATTTATCATATTAGAATTAGTAAAGTATTACATTCAGAAAGGATTAGGTAACATGTTTATCGATCTAAATTCACTTTAAAATTTCTTGTATAATCCATCCTTGTATTAAGCAAAATCCCAACATAATATCTTGCATATATTTTTCACTAACACGAAAGTAAATTATGTAATAAAATTTACATAACGACATTTTATATACTTATAAAAAAACACGCACACACATATATAGCTATCTATCGAATCGAAGCTAGAAAAGTTAAGAGGTGTTGCTACCTTGTTCTAGTGAGTCGTTTTAGTAACCATTCCCAAAGCCTATGGTTGCGGCAAATAAAGAAGCACACGCACCGGCCAAGGTGCTCGTACCATGTCATAAAAGCTGAACCAAAGAGCAATGGTGGCCATACTCGCCTAGGGGCAAGTTGTCTAAGTGCTTCAAAACTAGCATTCCCTTTCGAAGATGAGAAATAAGGCTGAAATCCGAAACAAAAAATTACATAAGATGCAAGTTAAGCGAAGATCCCGATGAAATTGGCATCATAAGTTTTCCATTGAAAGTGATACAAAAGTTTTCGAGTTTATAAGGTACGAACTAAATTTGAAAATAGAATCCCTCTATGAAACCAACATAAATAACAAAGCAATCGGAGATAATTATTTGGCACAGTCAATCTCGTATGAGGTTCATTATATTTTATTATGCAACTCATATATCTTATGTTGTTCCAATGTTAATCAGCTAATCTTTATTATGGTTTGACATATTTTCCGTACCGTTGGATAGAACAATTATGAAGATATATCAGTTAATAACGACTGAATTAAACATAATGGGTTTGTTCGCTTAGTATTTTTAGGTAAAACGATTCTCTATAAATATTATTTAAAAAAATACAAAATACACACGTAATATATGTATTTTATATCTTTACAAAAAAATCAACAATTCAACGCAAAATATTATTTTTTATATTACTAACACAATTTTCTATACCTAACATAAAAAACACATCCATCCAAAAACACAGTGAACAAACCCAATACTGTTTAATCATATTAAGCTTAAAAGTTCAATTAAATCATATTGAAAATGTGATCAACAACGCCCAATTCTGAAATCACATTATTTAAATCATCATGGCAAAAATAATCCGGATGTAATTTGGAAAGTTTGTACAATTCTTCGTCATGGTTTAGATACTGACGATGTTCCCTCATGTTTTGAAAAGCATTGCATAAAATTCTCTAAAAATTGTACGAGATTCGTCGTACTTTCAAAAATATTATAATAAATCTTCTAAAATAGGGAATAATGCAGATTTTTTATAAACCACAGATGAACAATAAAAATTTAGCTAAATATCATTAGATTAATATTCTACTTAATTAACAATGAATTCAACTAATTTGTCATAAATTTTCACCATAACAGTCAAACAATTGCACAAAGCTTTGATACCAATTTATTGCGAATTTGCAGCACAAATAAAACAAATCTTTAATCTTCTGTATCATTCTCCGATAAAAAATTTGTTGTAGTTATGCCAGAACAACAAATTCCTTAAATGGTTCAAAATAACTTCTATATTATTCGAATACCATAATTTAAATTAAATTCAGCACATCAATGATTATCACTCTAACAACAAAAGATTATAGAAGATCTCCAAAAAAATCCATACCGATGTTAAGAGAAGTGCGCTAAATATACTTATATTGAAAGTATCACTTACCGGCGCAATTAGAGTGACTGATTTAACGGACGCTGAGTACTTAGCCGCGAGTGCAAGTGCAATAACACATCCCATGGAATGCGCCACCACATGAAAGGACTTCATCCGATAAGGAAGAATAACCGATTTCTCGATCATTTCTAGGTGATCATTAAGCGTGTACAAGCAATTCCTCGGTTTTGGACTTCTTCCAAAGCCTAAAAGATCAACGGCAAATAACCTGTAGCTCTGTCTGGAAAGTTCAGACAGGTTAGGAAACACAGTTTCCTTCCAGATAGTCGAGGATGAGAGAAAGCCGTGGATAAATATTACATTTTGCACATTTGCAGCGTCGCCGGAGTCATTCTCCTGCATAGCTGACAATGTAAAACTTCTAATAGGTAAGTCAGAGGGCCAAAAAAGTTCTGTTTTTTAGATTTTGGTTTGAGAGAAGCTATGTGTGATTATGATTAATTCAAGCACAAGAAACTACATTCGTCCGCACATAATCACAAGATAAATAGATAATTGCTATCACAAGATATGTTAGATAAACATATATGAAATTATGTTATCTAATAAATTTCGAACGTTTTTTTAAGTTTTTTAGGAGGAAAAAATATTTTACAACAGAAAGAATTGAAAACATTGTGTGTGCTCATGATGTTTCTTTTTTCTTTTTTCGCGCATTTTAAGTTACTCCCTCCGTCCCATAACAAAGTATCTATTTTTCCATTTTAGTCCGTCTCATAACAAAGTATCCATTTCTTTTTTTTAGCAACGGTACTTTCTACTAATATTACAAATACTCTTACAACTTACAATATATTACACAAATGTCATTACCTTTATATCACACAAGGTTATTTTAGTCATTTCTATTTTATTCTTACTATATCCCAATATAATACTAATATTTTTAAAACTAGGTGCAAAAAGCAAATGAGTACTTAGTTTCAAGACGGAGGGAGCATGATATTTTAGGTGAAATAGTTAATTTGGATAGTACGACTTCCCATAAATATCATTAAAAACCTGATAGAGTTTAAGTAAACACTATTTAGCAATAAGTTTTTTTAAACAAATCATATAAATATCTATTTTTTCATAAAATATCAAATCAAATATTCTAAGAATTATATATATATATATAATAATTAATATTCAAATATTAGAAAAAATAAATATAGCCCTCAAAGCATTGTTTCTCTCACAAGTTTGTTGTTTTTTATTTAACACTCTTCACTTTTTAATAAAAAAACATTGTTTCTTTTCACAAGTTTTCTTTTTTTCTTTTTTTTCAAATTTTTCATTTTTCAAATAAAAATATATTATTTATTCTTAAATTTGGTCTTTCTTTATTTCAAACTTAAAATAATATTATTCACTCTTCACTTTTTAATAAAAATTACATTGCTTTCTCTCACAAATTATCATGTAAAAATATTATTCCCTCATTCCCTTAATAATCTATCAATTTTTTTTTTATTTTAGTCTATTTAGTAACAAAATATTCATTTCATTTTTTTATGACGATGTCATTGCTTTTATATCGTAAGAATAGTTTAATCTTTTTTACCTTTATTTATACTGCGTCCCAAATTCCGTGAAAAAAAAAAAAATAAATAAATAAATATGAGATGGGGAAATATAACACTCATTTTCAAATTAATTTCAAACCAAAATCAAATCAACTCCAAATTTTCAACAAAATCAACAATAATCAATTCAAAGTAAAACCAAAAAAAATAAAAAATAAATAAATATAAAAATAAATGTAAAGCATTGCTACCTCTTTCCGGCTGCTGAACGACCAAATGCAGTCTGTATTCATCATCATCATCATCATCATCATCATCTTCCCCATTTATTCTCATCCACGAAACGCACGAACTGCATCCACAATCAGACCATCTGATCTTCCCTAATTTGCCCACACCACCAAATCCAAATCCAAATCCCCAATTCCCGCCCCCAATTCTCCCTACCAAATCCCTAATCATGTTCCCCCTCCCAAAAAGGCTCTCCGACATCTCCTTCTCAACGCGATCCCCTTTCCTCGCAGCAGAACAGTAGCAGGGAGAGGACTCTCCTTCCAATAGCTCGTCCAGAACTCTGAAGAACAAGCACATTACGGCATCGAGTGCGTCCAGAAAAGCAAATACGATTGCGCTTATCAGAGAAACGGAGGATTTTGAAACGATTGTGAGGAATCTGCGGCAGGAGAGTGGCGCCGCCATTGGTGGATTTGATTTTTATTTTGATTTGAGTGGGGAAGAGGCGAAATTGAGGAGAATTGTGGCGAAATTGGGGGAAGAAGAAGAGGATGATAGCAGAAGGTAAAGATGGCTGTTGTTGGAACACGTCTGCCATTAGAGATGATGACAAAATCCATTGTTGTGCTTTCCTTGCTTGCTCTTCTTCTGCGTTCCAGAATTTATTGCAGTTTACCATTTATATACTGTATGAGTAACTAGACAACACGGCCGTGTTCTACGATTCTAAACATGCTTTTCCATCTTCATTTATATACTATATGAGTAACTAGACAACACGGCCGTGTTCTAGAATTCCAAACATGCTCTTCCATCTTTATTGGATTTGGCGACATTAAAGGCATATTTGTGAAAGGTTCGGATTTTAAATTTGAATTTCGAATAATAAAATATTATATTTAAATAATTTATTGATGTTATTTAAATCAATATTATTACAAAAATTTAAATATAAAATGGGTATTTAATACTCTCATTGCCGACATGAAATTTTTTGATTAATACATAAATTAAAAGATAACGAGTTTTAAGATTAAAATATGGTAAGTATTATATATAATTTATTATGTAATTGAAAAAAAAAAAAATACTAAATTATTATTATTTATTGAAAAAAAATGATGATAAAATTGTGGATCAATGGGCAAAAAAACTAGTAATATGATTTTGATATACAGTACTATAAAAAAATAAATATTTTATAAAAAAATATCAAATTGAATGATTATTACTCCCTCCGTCTCATATACCGTATCTGCTACATCGTAGACACTGTTATTTTAAGAGGGGTGCTGCACTGTAGACACGGTTGAGGGGTGTAATTAGTAGATAATTAAGAATGTATTAGTGAAAATAATTATCCTATAATATAAATAATTATAAATTAAGATTAAGATAACTAATTTGTTTAATTAAAATTAAAAAAAATAAAATTAAAAAATATAAAATTAGATTAAAATGTGTAATCATTTTCTAAAAAAGAAAAATGACATGACATGTGGGACAGATAGAAACGACAATGTGGACATGTATCTGCGACGGAGGGAGTATTATTTTATAAAACTCACATTAAATATTTAATATTTTGTTTTTTTTTAAAAAAAAAAACAATTGAACTTAAAATAATTCTATTTAAAAGTAGATAATCCCATAAGATTATCCGCACCTTAAGTGAGATTGAGTCAAATAATTTTTAATCCATCCAATGCGACCAAAATCATACCCAACTAATCAATTATATTCAAATTTTATTTTATATTTAAAAATATTATATCAATTTTTTTTTCTTAATTAATAATTTAATAATATATTCTTTTGCATTTTTTTCTGAAATTGATATTATTATTTTTAATTTATAATTTAATAATATATTCTTTTGTATTTTTTTATAAATTGATATTATTATTTTTAATCTAATTGTTTAAACTATAATTAGTTGTACTTCTCACACATACAAGATTATCTTACCTTAATGTAATAATTTTTTAAAAAAAATTAATAAAAATTTTAAAATATTTATAATGTGCAATAGAATATATATTTATTAAAAATGAAAATGAACATCTGATTATGTGGCCGAAAATAGCAAAATAAATATCTTCAGAACATAAGGTCGAAGTATTTAAACTTAGATATATATATATATATATATATATATAAGATTATGCTAATAACAACTAACAATATTTGAACTAGAAAGCAAAATTTCACATAATATACATCCTTCTTTATCGACTAGAACCTACTCTTATCGACTAGAACCTACTCTTAGTTCACTAAAAAGCTTTGGTTTTTTTTAGATTTTATCACATATTTTTGCTATTCAAATTCTTTTTTTCCTTCAAATATATCTAGGGATGTCAAATGGGACGGATTAGCCCCGGACCCGTTCTTAATAGGGCGGGTTCAGGTCTAAATAATATGTTTCGGGGCGGATTGTAGATTAAAAATTTTAAATCCGGCCGCCCGGACTCGAACCCGGATATTTTTTAAAATTATTATAACTAATATATATGTACATTTATATAATAAAAATATATTATTTATTTACTTAAATAATTTTAAATATAAAATTCAATTAGTTGTCTGCTTCAAATAATTTTTTAAAATTATTATACCTAATATATGTATATTTATATAATAAAAATATATTATTTATTTATTTATCTTATTCTTATGGATCAATATTTGATTATTTTTAGATTTATTTTTATTTTTATTTTTTTGTTTTTAATGCTATTTGTTTTAGTATTCGATTGTTAAAAAAATATTTATTAGTTGGCCCGAGTCCTGGAGCCGGGTGGAAGCGGGGCGGGGCGGGTCTCGGAGCCTAATATTTTCTAGCGGGGCAGATCTCGGGGCCTGCAGACCAGTCCCGAACCCACCCCGTTGACATCCTTAAACATATCACATCTTTTTTTAATATTATACTAAAAATTTATTTTACATTCAAAACATCACATCTACTGCTTATATCACATTAAACAACGGTTCAAATTCAACATTTTACTATTAAAAAATCTAAACCCACAAACAATCACACCCTTTATATTTTTGAATCAACTCAATAACACATTCAAATTTAACTAGCCGAATCGAATCAAATTTTCGAATAAACTTGCATAACCAAATAGTTGAATCGGCCAACAACACAACATCTAGCATTTTTCTTCAAAATTAAATTGTAACACTATACTTACCGTTCGAATCCGGTGTCTCGATCTAGCGTGCAACGCAATCAAATTCGATGCATCTGTCCAAATCCAGCATTGCAGGCAAGAGTACTCCTGCGCAGCAACAACACCATCAATACATTATAGATTGAGTTTCATATAGACACGTACCAGGATGGAGCCAGTCGGGGACAAGACAATGTGAGACATCCTTAAATTCTTGCATAAGTCGAGGAAATTAAGAATGTTTCTTTTCTGAAAGAAGCTAAGGAAGGATCTTTCAAGACGAGGCTGCGTCTTCAATCTTCCCGGAAGCATATTTGAATCTTTCCACTGCAGCAAGATCATCGAAGAAGAAAAGTAAATGGAAATAAATATACAGAAGTCGAGGGAAATTGTCGCGCCATGAATGCTGATATTTTAGCTCAGCAAAGTTCATTTGTAGTTACTATGTTGAACACAATACAACGACAGAAAGCACGCGATTGATGTTAATATAATACAAATGCAACATATAAACATATATGGCATAATAATTGTCCACACAACACATATCATTGATCTCAACACAATAAATATGTTCGTATATTGTTCCGTGTGCTTATGTTTTATAGCCTCATTGGAGCAAATCAGCATCACCAAAGTTACATTATGTGCCAAAATGAAAAGGTATTATTGCACAAGATCAATACAACTTTCATCATTTTATTTTGTTCATTTTCAATTTTTTCATCGACACGAACTTAAAATTATCTTAATTTAAAACACAAATGATTTCATACCGACGAATCTTAACAATGTCGGGAGGATCAATTGCCAGTGGTTTACTCACGGCGAATCCGGAGGGAAGCAACCTACTCGGGTTGATAGTAGCACTTTAATTAGACTATTTTAGATTTGGCATAGATCAACATATGCTACACAGGCAATAAACATATATTTATACATATCTCAGCATATTTTAATACAGCGTATATTATATTATAATTCAACATATGTTATATTATAACTCAGCATATGTTGTACTATAAGTAAATATATATTGGTTATGTATATGATATACGTTGATACGGTCAAATCAGCACCATGCTGACTTGGCCGGATCAGCACAGGATTCGTAGCCTTTTGGATTTTATATTTAATTCTATTGTTGGGTCTAATAATAAGATTATTGAACCAATAGGGTCCGATAAAAAAGTCTTTAAATAGGTTAGAGTCACAAGTCTTAGGGATCATTTAGAGTATTTGAGAATCGACCTTTTTGTTGGGATGGAAGACATTTCATTGTTTGTCATTTTCTCTATTCAATACAAATTTATATTTTACAACGTATTAGATTCCATCACACTAAAAGGTTTTTTACGACATAATGAAGAGATTTTTCGGGCTAAACAAATACCGGAGATTTGAATATCCAAGAAATTCGGTAGACGATACTTACAAGACATGGGAAAAGATTCGACTGTCTGTCTATAGTGCCGTTTGTGTCGTCTGGAAAGCTTTCTCAGCTTCTTTCCGTATGCTCGACAGATTTTTCATTATCTCCTTGCAGAGTCTACCCTCAATAAGGTGCACAGGCAACCAGACTTTAGGTTTAACGCGAACAACATAGTGAAGTGTTGTTTGAAATTCTTGATCCATATTGGAATCACTACGTAAATCTCCACCATTCAGATTCTTCGTCTCCTAAAAGAACTCAAAGATTTGTCATATATATCGCATGAACTCTTGAGATACAGCGCAATACAGAATTTGAGAGAATGTCCAAATTGATCTAGATGCAATAAAATTTACACTCAAGAGACATATGCTGAAATTGTTTGTGTTTTTCACACATAGGAATCTATCTAAATTAAATATTTTTCCCCTCTAAAACACATCGCATCCGTAACTTTAAACATCATATTCAACACGTATCTTATATTTAAAACATCACATCTAAACATATTTTCCAAAAAATTGTAGTGAAACACCACAAAACAGCCAAACTCTCCAAAATACAAACCTTTTTGTTCTTCCGTAGTTAAACACTAAAAAAAAGGTAAGTTTGTCTTACTATTTATTAGGAGACATAAAATATAATGATGCAAGATGAGAATGGAAACAATATAAATTTTCACCTGTTCGACTGACCATTTTCCTTCAAAGAGTTGGAAGTCACCTTCAACCATCTTAAAGTCGATGTCGCGCTGCTGGCCAAAGGGAAGTGTCTGCACATCTCTCTCAAAACAATCTATAGTACCTCTTGCATTGAATTTCAGGCCAAATGCCAAGTTCTGCTCACCAACCTGTTGCATGAATGAGTTCGAAAATAAAAATAAATAACATATAAATGGACATTTCTCTATTAGCATAAATTCTTAGGTAAATTAGTCATTTAATATGGTACTATAAATTGGGATTTGTTGGCTTTGATTTTTCTTATCTATGTTTTTATTTTTTTAGTACTATTAATTCTTCAATTTTTCCTGAAAAATCATTATATCTTAACATACGTTTTTGTCCAAACCATCACATCCAACAAATATTTTACCTCAAAACACCAAAAGACCACACATTGTGTCCACTAATGTCACTTATATGTAGACGAAAGTATGGCAAACAGGTTTTACAAAATAACAGACATGCATCGGAGATAATAAGCATGTATACAAATAGGAAATATAGTAAATAGTCGATGAAACAAAAAATAGTTAGTTGAGAATGGTATCTCCGTCATGAGTGATGCAACAAAAGAGCTGAAGATAAGCATGCTGTCACAACCAAAACAATTCATAATCGAAGACACGGACAAAAATGAAAGTTGGGGATTTGATTTACTCAATGCTCATCTCTTTTAATCAGTATACCTGAAAGAGTCGAGCAAATTTTTCTCCCTTCTCAAGCAACTGGCTAACCGCTAGACCTGGAATGAAATCAGCCAATCTTTCATAATCAGTCAATATATCCCAAACTGTTTGAAGGCTGGCCTGCACGGCTACCTTTGATCTAATTCTCCGTTGGTTCCTGCCTATCTTTTCCACTGCTATCTCAACTCCATCACCATAACTTTCATAACTTGGCGGTGTATCGTACAAAACCTCTTCTCTTTGGTCATCATCCTCTTCATCTTTCCTATCTGGAGTGTTCGCCGAATCACTCCCACCATATGCCCTTATTATAGTTAACCTAAGCAATGTGTTAAGGCATCATACTTCACTCTAAGGTAAAAAATACGTATTGTATGCTAAAGTTGTCGAATGTACAGTTCAGAGTTCAACTATCAAAAAGATCAATATCAATGCATGGCAATATCAAAATTTTCAATTTACTAATAGATTACAACATGAGTTCAGAAATTCGAAGTTGAAATTTTGGAAATTTAGAGCAAAAATTGATTTCTCCATTTTCAAATCCTGCAATGAACTCAAGTATAGGATTTCTGAAATCTAACTTTGAATTCAATCATGATTACAATATCTAAAAATGAAAAATATTATGTAATACATCATAGAAGTCACCAATTCAAAATGCAATCAATCAGAGCTCAAAACACTAAAATTGGACATAAATTATTCAAATTTGCCGATTTTTACCCTTTTGAACCAACAAAACTCTAGAACTCATTGCTCAAACTGCAAATCCTTAAAAAAATTGTCAACTGTTAAGTTTAGATTGCCTTTTTTTCCAATTCACAATCATTGAAATTGGAATCAAATTCGAAGGAATTCTCTCAAGTCTAAAGTTCTAACTCAAAATTCCAAAGTTTCAAACTCAATTCAGATTCACACCCCCCATACGCAGCAGCAACAACGATACCACGAAAAAATTAACGTATTAACAGATTAAAAAGGAAGGTTTTGAAATGTTGGGAAAAGCAACTACAGATTATTCTACCAGAAATACAAATGCTTCAAACAGTAGAAGGATCATTGCAGCAAGATGTCCTCAATAACAGTTAATTAAAAATCCACGCCGGAAGGTAACATCTAAGAAAATCTATCAATCAACAAGAAGTATGAATCACGATAATGACTATGATGATTCTCACACTTCAATTTCAGTGCAGTTTCAGGCAACACACCATTCATTGCCTAACAACATATACCATTCCAATTTCCATCCATAAACTTCAATTGAATCCAAAATCCAGAACGTACCTGGAAACAACACGGGAGAAGCAAATAGAACAAGGCTCGTCGCGCCGAAGAGAACGAACATAGGGATTCAATTTCCGTAGCGCACCTGCCAACAACGCAGATTGTGTGTCTAATGCGATGAATTGGGGGCATGTGGAATTGAAGAGAGATTTGGGTGGCGATGAATTGAGGATTGAATTTGGAGAAGAAGCAGACGCCAGAATAGCAGCAGCAGATGAAGACAAGGCAGAAGCCATTAGTGAATCAGTGTAGGAAAGCAAGCTTGCATTTCTATCTGTAAATTTTATGGCTAAGTGTTTGTTTGGACCCCATGTTTTTTATGTTTCAACTTTTTTTTTTTTATATGAATAAATAAAAATAAGTAGGGTTTGTTTGTGTTGTGTTTTGGTATAAATAAAATAAATATTAATGTATAAATAATATAAAAATAATAAACATGTATAATATATATTAATTATTTATTGATAAATAAGTATCATTCACGTAAAAAAAAAAAAATTAATATGCTTTTTTTATTGCCAAAGTTTTATAATCAGCATATTTACACAATATAATATATATTATGCATTAAAAAAATTAAACAATTTTAACATAAAATATTATTCATTATATTATAACATACTCCTTCCGTCTCACATACTGTGTCTCTGCTACACTGTAGACACGGTATTTAGAAGAAATGTAATTAGTAGGTAATTAATAATGTATAACTAAAAATAATTATTCTGATAACTAATTAGTTTAATTAAAATTTTAAAAAAATAAAATTAAAAAGTTTAAAATGAGATTAGAGTGTGTAATCATTTTCCAAAAAAAAAATGACACAGTACGTGGTACAGACAGAAACGGCAACATGGACATGGTATATCGGACGGAATGAGTAATATATTCACAGAAAAACTAACCATTCAAAAGATATAGATTAGTATTTGTTACATTACAAGAAATTTTTCTATATCTAATTAAAGAATACTTACACTAAAAGAAAAATACAAAATGAACCTATCAAATATTTAACTTTTTATTTTTTATTTTTTCAGAAAATCAAAATTTTATACTCTCTCCGTCCCATAAATACAGTCTTAATTGGGTTGGACACGAGATTTAAAGAATATTGATATTATATTGGTAATCGGTAAAAAGTATGGATAAAAGACTATTTTGCCCATGTGAGGGTATTAGTATAAAAAGTAGTAGTAATTGTGTAATAAAAATAAAAAAGTATTGGTAGTTTTATGGTGATATGACTATTTATGAAAATAAGACTATTGTTTTGGGACAAAAATAGTAAACAAAACTATTGTATTGGGACGAGGGGAGTATATAAATGAACTCTTAATTTTTGTTATTTTAGTTTCGTAACGAGAGTTTGTCCAGTAAATAAAAGTTTTTAACGCATTTGGTCTTCTGGTGCGGGAAATACCTGTGTGACTCTCACGTGGCACGCCGGAGGACGCGTGTCCGCTAAGTAAGAGTCACCTGACGTACATATGAAAATTTCATTTTAATTTAAATTTATTAAAATTGATGTATTTAAAAAAATAAAAATAAACTATTTTTATAATTTTATAAAAAATTAATATACTATATTTTTAAAGTTTTATTTTTTAAAATTAATGTATTTTAAAAAATTTAAAAAGTAATAAAGACACTTGTCCTCATGCGTGTCATGTGGGTGCCCGCAGGCATCTCTGGGATCGGAAGGCAAAATGTGTAAAAACTTTTTACTTGCTAAACTATTTCAAAATAAGGGGATAGTTATGAAAAAAAAAATAATAATGATTTACCATAATTTATTTGAATAAAAGTAAATTGTTAGTAATATATACTATATAGCAAATAAATGGTGTGCTTGATTTCAATTTCAAATTCAAAATATCACTATTAAGTTCACAAGGTATCGAAAATGACGTTCCACATAATGTATTTCAGCACCTTCAAATATAATTTTGAACACCAATGAATAATACAGTGGAATGAAATACAAACAATAAATGTTTGTTATGTTCATATGAAGTCAAATGACGTTCTACATGATGTATTTCTACACATTCAAATACAATTCTGAACACCAATGAATAATGCAGTGGAATGAAATACAAACACTAAATGTTTGTTATGTTCAGATGATGTCGTTTGATTGTGATTTGAATGACAAACAAACCACAAAAATGATTGCGTAAAAGAAAAGAAAAGAACAGCACGCCAGTGTTTATTTAATCAATTCGGCCCTCAACTCTACTACGTTTGGGTACCAACCCAAGGATATTCCATTATATTATTACAAGAGCAAGAGACAGTAAACTACACACAAACTCTACAAATCAGCAACTACAAACACTCAACTTAAATGCATTGATTTTCCTACCACATGCAAAGTCGCAACCTCCGTTTGTTTGTGCTTTGACGCAGGGTGTCTATCTTAACAACTCACCTTCTCTTCCTTCAACACTTTTTGGAATTTCTTTCCTACAAGCTCAACAAACAAACACACTGCGTTCGTCGACACAACATACTACAAAAACTTCCTTAGGATGTCATCTTTGGTTCAACGAATCCAGAAGCTTCAAGCAGTTTTCCACCCAAAATATGCACAATTTTTTTTCTAGATTTATACCTTTCAATACATAAACAAATTTCTCTAAAAAAAAAAAAGCCCTCAAAATAAATGAGGAAACTCTCCCTCAACAAAAAGTAAACTCAAACTATTACAACATAAGAGTTGAGCATTTTTCTCTTTGAATATTATGCGAGAAAACACAAACAGGTTCTCGACTCATTCTCATTTTCTCTCCAATAAGATAATGACAAGCTTGTCTTCAATAGCCAAACATGCTTAGACTCCATAGTATATTTAAAGTTAAATTTCTTTGTATTTGAAATTCATGATTAATTCTAATCATTTCTTAACATATTAATTATTTTAGTATTAACATGATATATCAATTATTGTTGGGTTGCAAACCCAAGTCCCACATTGGAAGTTCCGAAGAAAATTGCACACCTTATAAGTCCCAAGTGAACTCCACTAGTATGAGGCCTTTTGGATGATATTCAAAAATAAATCCGTGCGGGCTCAGCCCAAAGCGGACAATATCATACTAGTGTTGAGTTGACCCAGTTTCAACAATGGTATCAGAGCCCGGTTAGATGATGAAGTGGATTGGGTGGCATTGGACATTAGTTGTGGTGGTGGGCTCGCCCTCGTGACCTGCGGATGTGCCTTGTGTCGAAAGTCTCCTGGCGGTGTTGGGTCGGTCCCGATTGAGGTGGTCAAGCAGCGGGTCACTTTGTGATAGGCGGTACAAGATGGGCAGGGAAGGTCCATTGTTGGTCCTAGGTTCAAGGGGAGGATTGTTGGGGTGCAAACCCAAATCCCACATTGGAAGTTCCGAAGAAAATTACACACCTTATAAGTCCCAAGTGAACTCCACTAGTATGAGGCCTTTTGGAGGATATCCAAAAACAAATCCGTGCGGGCTCGGCCCAAAGTAGACAATATCATACTAGTGTTGAGTTAGCTCAATCCCAATATTTATATAGGTGGTAGAGCTCGGGTTAGTTCAAGAAAGTACTTATGTATATAATCTATTCGGTCATTTTGTTGTAAAGTGTAAGGATAAATGAACTCATGCATTGCACGGTATGCCTTAAAAAAAGGACGGGCATGAACAACCAAGTAGTTGCAACTACGCGTGATTTTTATGTTTTATGAAAACTTAGTGAAATGAATTGTATTAACGAAACCCGTAAGAAAGATATCGTCTCCATTCACACAACGTTTTTTAGATGAATTAATTTTTGATATGTGGTACGAGGAATTGTATGAAAAGTATAAAATATATTTTCTCTGTCTCGCATCTATCTATTAATTTGTTTTTTGCACGAAATTTTAGAAATATTAGTATTATATTAGAATGTAGCAGAAATAAAGGTAAAAAGACTAAACTAACATTATTAGTATTGTATGATATAAATGTAATGACATTTGTGTAATATATTGTAAATTGAAAGAGTATTTGTAATGTTAGGTAAATAGTACAATTACTAAAAAAGGAAATCTATACTCTATTAGGGGACGAACCAAAATGAAAAAATAGATAGATTGTTAAGGGACGGATGAAGTATTATTTAAGTTGAATACTACCTCCGTCCCGGAAAAAGAGTAACATTTACTTTTTGCACGTAGATTTTTTAATATTAGTATTATATTGGTTTATAGTTAAAAAGACAAAAATGTCCCTATTAGATTGTGTGATATAAAAGTAATGATATTTGTGTAATATATTGGAAGTTGTTAGGATATTAATTATGTTAGGTAAGTACAAGTGCTTCCCCTCTTGTTAACAGTGGTCGTTGGAGTCTCCCCGGAAATTGCTGCCTAGGATTGCATGTTGCAAGGCTTTTGCTTTTGAAGTTCAGCTCGTACAATTATTAAAAAAAGAAAATGATATCTTTGTTTTGATACTGACAAAAATGGAAAATAGTATCCTTGTTTTGGAACTGACAAAAATGAAAAATAGTATCACTCTTGTGGGATGGAAGGAGTATAAATTTTTTTCCCCAAAATATGCTACCATATATGATGAAGATTGAAGTCTAAAGAAAGAAAGCATTGGACTTCCTTCCCACCTTCTTAAAAGAAAAATTACTTCATCCGTCAGATTCCAAATGGATCATTTTAGTGAATTAACAAATAATAATATTTTATTAGGTAATGAAAATATATAATATATTTTGATTTTTTTATCCTTACAAAGTACAATTAAAGTAACGATATTTTTATAATTTGTGTAAAAATATAAATATTTTGTATTTGTATATAAAATAATTTTACTATATTAAAAAAGAAATATGTTAAATGAGATAAACAAAAATGATAAAGATAGTATTTTGAATTTAATAGAAAAAAGTATGTTTTTATTCTTTATAAAATACTTAAATTATATTTTAAAATCAAAAAATCAAATACAAACAAAAAATATTCTGGTATATATAGACTTTGTTGTCTTTATAAAATATATATATATATATATACTCTCCGGCTCACGTACAGTGCAATATTGGATTTGGATACGGAACTGAAGTGGATAGTATAAGGTAGAATAAACCGGTAATTAGATGATGTGATAAAAAAAAAATGTATATATTTTTTTTATTTGAATGATGTGATAAAAGAGAAGTTCGATATTTTGTGTTTGCATATTAATTTTTATATTATTTTTATCAGTACAATTGATTTTTTGCGTATAATATTTAAATATGAATTATTATATTATATATAGTATAAATCAAGATAA